TATGAGGGACTGGCGTCATACTCCCTCCACTATGCTTGTAAAGACTCAAAACAAAAACTGATGAAGTTTTCAAAGTTGACCAGTGAAATTGTTGAATAAAGCACTCATATTATTTTGGTTTGAGGACCATACTTTATTGCATAGTTTCATATACTAATATTCATATTTCTATATATTTATATACTTACATATATTTAAAATGTTCAGTTTTTAAAAAAATCAATTCTTTGAAGACCTGGAAAAGATTAATGTAGAACCAGCACACTGGTAGAATAAATTATATTTTTATGAAATAAAGCATTAAACTCTAAAGTCACTTAAAATAGAAACTTATAAATTATAAATTTTATGGGAAGAAAGTGACAATTGCATTACCTCTCATGATTTTTAAAATTTATATTTAAAATACCTATTAATTTATTGCATCTTAAGCTGGGTAAATAAATCCTACCTATTAACTTTTCTGTTATTTTTGAAATAAAAATGAAGTAACCAGGAAAATCATGAATAATTCAGTACTCAAAATGTCCTCAGGATAATTTATACCTTATATATTCTTATGTGTGATTATTTAACATTGCATTATATCTTGATTGTTCATTATTGTATTTATCATTACTTTTCTTGAAGAAAGTGGTATATCTAATCTTGCAATTTCATGTAATGACTTAAAAAATACCTCTGCAAGTGTGAAAATGTTTATTGTTTTCTTTTCTTTTTTTTTTGGTTCCGGGCATCAAACTCGGGTCCTTGCGCTTGCAAGGCAGGCCACCAAACCGCTAAGCTAAATCACTGGCCCTATTTTTTTCTTGATAAAATGTGCTTGTTTGTGGTAGTAATATCTTTTTCTACATTATCAATTTTCCCCAGCATGGTGTGTATTATTATCATTTTCATATTTTTATTGTTTTTAACTTGGATGACTATATATTATTTTTGAATAGGCTAATTTATTTTTGACTGACAGAGTCTTTATTTTTACCTCAGTAGAAAGAGTTTGTAGAGAAATACTACAATGCCCAAGGATAATTTGTCTGTCTTCCTTCAAAATAACAGAATGTTCCCATATATGAGCAACACTTCTTTACGTATTCACCGTGCTTTCCACGGTGTTCTGTGTTGTGCAGTCCTCCCCATCCTGTGATGCTGAGGGCTGAACCAAAGAGCTGCCGCGGGCCAGAGAGTGATCTGCCGCCCAGCTACACCTTCCACCCTGTCTTCATATTCTCTTAATATCAGAAACAATGCTAAAATAATAGAGTTTTAAAAAGTTAATTTTGTATTTTGCATATTGTGAAGAATATGAAAATGATAATTTTGAATTTGAGTCATATAATGAACTTGCTATACAGAGATGTAATATGTTACATTAATTACCCCAATCCCTCATTTTTACACATTGTAGTGTATTTTATATTGTATTCATTACTTTAGCTATACGGTTAACCACCAGAAAATCTCTAGACATTGAAAATACTAATTTGACAAAATGCAACACTTCTGCTGTTAATCAGTTTACCTTATTAAACACTATGAATATAGGGAAGGCACACCCTTCCACAAACACGAGATGGACTTTCTAGCTTTATTTTTTTCCAGCCCCCACCTCACCCCTGCTGCTGGTACTGGGGATTAAATCCAGAGCCTTTGCACTGAGCTACCTCCCTAGTGCCATTATTTAATTTTTCACTTGGGCCAAGGTCTCACTAAATCACTAAATGGCCTAAACTGGACCCAGATTTAAGATCCTCGTGGCCCAACTTTCCAGAGTGCTGGATTATAGGCATGCACCACCACGCCCAGCTTATAAGTTTTTTAGTAACCCTGTTACATTTACTTATGACATCTTTACAGTAGAAACATGAAATGTCTTTTTAAATAGATATCAGATTTTAATGTAGCATAGTTTTTTGATTTATGAATATTACTTTGAAACATTCCTTTGTGGTAATTGTTTTAATTTAAATTTTTTTACTACTTCTAGTATTCTACTATCATATCGGTAGATACTCTATATTGAGCCTGCTTTGATCTGGAGCTGTATCATTGGGATGTCTGATGATGGATGCATGGATGGATGGATAAAATAGGTCATAGAAAAGAATGCCCACAAATCTATTCTCCCCTGGACTCTTACAGTAATCCCCGAACTTTCATGGAAAATGGGGACCCTAAGTAAGTTGCGAAAGTGATGAAATAAGTAGGAAGTTGCATCAGATACTTGAAAATTAAAAAAAAATTTAAGAGCAGCTATACAGGAAAAATAATTGAAAATTGAGAGCTTCTCTTGGTTATTATAAATTTTTTTCCTTAGAAACAACTAAAAGAGGGCCGGGGATTTAGCTCAGTGGTTTGGTGGCCTGCCTTGCAAGCGCAAGGAGCCTAGTTCAATCCCCGGTACCAAAAAAAAAAAAGAAACAACTAAAAGAAAGTACTAAAGTTTTTCCTTATGAGTAAATTCAAAGGCCTTTTAAGTTGTTTTCCTCATTATTGTGGCCTGTTGTCTGTTCGTTCCTGTCTCAGAGTCTGTGTGTGTCTGGACTGGCTGTTCAGGTAGTGGCTACGGTTAGGACACTATCAGTCAGTACACAGCAGTGGAGGGCCTCACAGGCAACAGCCTCTCCAGACGCTTCCAGTTTAGAATAGAGGCCACCAACGATGTGGAGTAGTAGTGTGTCAGTCTTGGTAAATGTCACAGTGGGGATCTGAAATATTGTAAACATAGATGACAAAATAGAAACAATTTATTTAAAAAATGGAACATAGATTATTAGAACATAGATTCTTTTTAAAAGAAAATTGAATTGTTTACCTACAGATGTAAAGTTATATATGAAGTCTTCCTAACATTTCATATGACTTACTGGTTGCAATCTGGTAAAGCTTATGGCCACCCGATTTTAGAATGCACCCTTTTTTGTATGCATAAAGAAAAATTAGGGTTACAAAGGAAACTGCATTGGAGTTCAGACTGCAACTGGAGGATTCCAGGAAAACACAACATGTATTAAATCTTGCAAGCGATTATCTGTGATTTCCCACTTCTCCGTTGCTGCTTTTTAAAATTACTTTTAAATTCTTATCTTAAATTTAATATACACTAAACATGCAGGTGGAAGGTATCAATTTTAATGTCTTAGTCATTGAAGAACCAGCTGTAGGTCTGGATAATTCATGCAGTACTGCTTTAAATTTTCTTACCCTTAACTCCACCTCTCAGAGAGAAGTTAATTATCAAGATAAGTGTCATTGATTGGTATGCTTCCAAAAATATGTTTTCAGAGATTTAAGAACTATGTAGATTGGTAGGTAGATATCCCCTTGATTATTGTGAACACATACAGAGATATTACACTAAAAACATGTCACAAATTAGTATATTTATTTCTGAGAAAAGGTTCTCTCTAAAATAGCTTATCAGAAAAAATAGAACTGTGATTTTTTTATACTGAGGTTGGCTTTACATTTTTCCCTTTAACACCGGTAATTAAATATTTTATATGAATATATATTTAAACTTGGTTATTTTGACAGGTTCTGGATACACTTATATAAAAATATTTAAGTTATCTGGGCTGGGGATTTAGCTCAGTGGTTCCCCCAAGCACAAGGGCCGGAGTTCAATCCCCACTACCAAAAAAAAATTTTTTTTGTTATCTTAGAATATGAATATCATTTTATTACCCAGACTTAAATTATTTAAAAACTATTTGACCTATGTATTTACCCTATAATTTCAATATATAAAATAATCACAAGCTATAATACAGAATAAATCCAGTACTTATCTAATCTAATATCTTTGTCTAGAATTATATGACATATAATTCATGTCTTTTAGGAAATTGTGTCCTTTTTTCTTATTTGTATTTTTCTTTAATTGCTTGTAATTTTTTTGTTTTCAAAAATAAGTTTGAGGGCCGGGGATTTAGCTCAGTGGTGCTGCTGCCTGCCTCGCAAGCGCAAGGACCCAAGTTTGATCCCTGGTACCAAAAAAAAAAGATTGAAAGAATTCACATGTAAAATGAAAGTCCTTGATGAGATTAATATTTGCTTACTCACTCTAATTAAGCATTTCCATTTGTGGTTATAACTGGGTGGGGAGGTAATAACTCAATTTAAATTATACTTTTGAGTATGATTATTACTTGAGCTGTGAAGCCAAAGGTATTACTTTTAGAGTTGTCTTACAAATTGAGGGGTTGGTAGTAGAAAACATTTATTGATCACATTAGGTGTAAAAGCATTATGCTAATCTCCAGGGATACAAAAATCAATAATGATAGGTCACTTAAATTTAAGCATTGTCCCTTCAGCAAGAGTATTAGATTTGTTTATTCCTGAAGAGATCACATTGTTTTAGAATTATTATTCCGGTCAGGTAAAGTGGATTCTGCACTGGCTGGCATTGACAGTGCACCGAGACAGATTCTGTGCAGAATGGGTTTTCTTTTGGAGCAAGGATTAAATATGGCCACATGATTACCTGTGCCTGATTTTCCTGTAAGCTCACTTTGATGCTTCTCTTTGAATTTCAGGTGTACCAGTGTATCGTGATTGTGTTAAAAGCCTACTTATATCATAGTTACTTCTGATTAATACTGATTAATAATTCAGAGACAAGAATGAACACTTACGTGGTTTTACTGCAGTCTTTTGAAAATATTAGAAAAAATCGTTTAATTCTTTTAAAATACAATAAACAGTTCACGTGTTTTGTTTGAGAAATTCATTTTCAAAAGCAGGCAGTTTGATGTTCCCTGATTATAACTGAGAAATTCCTGTTGTCTTCAGTGGGAATCTGCATGACAGACAGAGTTTGGTTCCTTAGAAAATCTTAAGAAATGTAGTGAGAATTTGCTCCTAATATGGTTCGGGAACTTTTTTTTCTACATACTCAGAAAAATTAATTACCTTTTCAAAGTCAGTTTGATGCATCATGAGCAAATAGCAGAAGGGCACTGAAGGTCAACTGAGCTGCTTTGTGACTGACGTTTCAGGGATTGTGAAGCAGCAGATAGACAGCCATATCACAGATCCAGACCAACAGAACCGCGGCCTCTCCTTGAGCGGACCACCACCCGCTCCAGATCCACTGAGCGTCCAGACTCAAACCTCATGAGGTCGATGCCTTCATTAATGACGGGAAGATCTGCCCCTCCCTCACCTGCCTTATCGAGGTGAAAGAGAAATCAGTCGGACTCCCTTTCCCTCCCCACACCAGCACACCATTTTATTTTCCCAGCAGCTAAGTGGTCTCTTCTGTCATCTTTGGCTGATCACTAGTAATGGTCAATACTAACCTCTGCAGTGTGGCACACTATTTATATTCAGTGGATATAATAGTGTGTGGCGATCATTGTAATTTGTTTATTAACTGTCCTGACTGCATTTGTTTTGTGATTTCTCATTAATCAGGAGTCCGGGGTAAATCCCCTCGTAACGACTACACTGTGTTCTTCTCCTCCTACACAATGAGAAATTGCTTGTGTCCATTAGACATCGCTTTTCTGATCATCATACTGACAGTAAACAAACTCAGTTCTCGGTTTCTTTCTGCCCACACTAATAGTCATGCATTAACTAGTGTTTCCTTTGGCAGAATTTTGAAATAGTCAGGGTTTTGTCATAGTTCATGGGGTATCTTCTAATGAAGGGGTATTTAATATAGGCCCGAGTAGAAATCTGGAGAGAGGAGGGAAGGTTAGTGTTAAAGAATTTGAAGTCAAGTAGAAAGAAATGTACAGTATTAGCTCTCTTTTAAGCTTCTGAATTTTCCTCTTGCTTTCCTATGGATAGCATACTAATTTATATTCATAATTCCATGGATTTATTATAGGATTTTGTGTGCATGTATGTGTGTATGTATGCATATTACACAAAAATGTGAGCATCTCTTTCTATTTAAATAATCATTCAGATATCCATGTTTTGTCCTGTTTCCTAACCTTTTAATCAGCAGCTAATCCTCTTTTAAAATTGCACTTACACAGCTATCATATGAACCAAATGTATGAACAGTGTTCCACTCACTGTGCTGAAAATGAATACTCACGGTGTGTCCCGTAGGTCGCACCCGCGCACGGGGTCTGCCCAGACAAGCCCGTCCAGCACTCCCGCGGCAGCACGGAGAGGCCGCCAGCTCCCACAGCTTCCGCCAAAAGGAACGCTGGAGAGAAGTAAGTTTTGTTTCTTACTCTGTCACACGGAAACGCACATGGGAGCTGACATGAGTGGAGCTTTTCGTACTTCCTGTGTGTTAGTTATCTTCTTTTGTCACTGTACACCGTGGGTGCACTTCACAGTACTTAGATTTATGAATATTATTATATATTTTGTAACTACCATTTATAATATTCGTAGGTAAACTATCTTTATTGCAATTTTTTCAAATGTGAATAAATGAATTTAAGAAGTAAACTTAGTAGTCTTAAGCAGTTGGATGATATTGCTTTGCTATAATTGTGTAATTGCTGATAATTACATAAAGTTTATTAGTAACTAGCTAAATTAATTTTCACACACTGCAAAGGACTGGTTAGCTGAAGCACAACAGTGGTGATCCCTCTCAAAACTGGAATGCAAGAAAAAGGTAATCGTGTATATACAAAGAAAGATGCATGTTGTACTGATGCTTTTAGTAATTTCAGCTTTTTCATAAGAAGCAATATTTGTTGACACACGCATAAACATACTTCTTCAACATTTTTAAATTCTCAGCTAAAGGACCACTGTAAGCATGGATGGCAGTATAATTTTTAACATCATTTAGAAAGTGAAGTATATATTCATATAGATGTGTATGTTTAAATCACCACTTATCTTTTCTTTAATACACGATACATTCTTTGCCTTTGGAAATTTCTGTTGTTTTAACCCCTGTGCTTTGGTTCCCTTTTTTGTTTTGCTTTTATTTTGTTTTCCCTAGAAAATGGAGTCAAGGAGATAGAACCTTATGAAGGTCTGTACATAGAGAAGGGTTTGTTTTGTGCTGATAGCCTTTGGGGGCTGTGTAAGCAAAAATAAACCCAACTGCAACTGATGTCCCTTTACTGCATGGTTTTATAAATAGTAAATTTTTTTTGTTTTTTTTTTCATAAAACACCTTTTACTTGGAAATAATAGCAAAGTAGGACTGGGGAGTTAGCTCAGTGGCACTGTGCCTGCCTTGCAAGCACAGGTCCTGAGTTAAAAAAAAAAAAAGGCGAACGAAATATAAGTGAGGAGTTAAATTTCTGTATTTTATCAAGGATGAAAAGAATTCCAGAGTGCCTGCCGCAAACACAGGTCCTGAGTTAAAAAAAAAAAAGGCGAACGAAATAATAGTGAGGAGTTAAATTTCTGTATTTTATCAAGGATGAAAAGAATTCCAGTTTTTTTTAAATGACTAGAAAATGTTTCCTTTAAAAAATATTCAGTTTGCCTTTTAAGAAGAATTCTAGATTTTGGGTAAGACTTTAAATAAAGATATCAATTGCAGTCTCTGTTTATGTCATTGAGGAAGTACACATAGTCTAGTTATATTTATTATATCTTGTGTTTTGTGTTTATAGTGATATTTAATTGCTAAGTTTGGCCTTCTAGAGAGAGAAGTTGTTGAATTAGTGATTTTAGTTTGTATTTCCTACATCATTTTTCATGTAGCGAGACTGCTTATGGCATATCAAAAGTTAAACATGATATCTCTTTATAGTTTTACCATCAAATACTACATTCCGACCCAAGACAAAATACTGAGTTGTGATGTGTGGGCTGTTATACATTTACCAGAGCAAGAAAAAGTAATCTGCTAGTAGAATTCTGAAATCGTTGGTTCTTTTATTTACTGCCAGAACTGCTGCACACAGAATAATGCCTGGCACGTTATAGTCCCTGAATAAAGATTTGTTGAATGAATGCATGAAATATTAATTTAAAAACTGAAAGATTATCTTAGATAGTGTATCTTGCACTTTGCATATGCTACACTAAATTTCATGTTTGTAACAAATTTGTAAATGCATTGCATTTGAGCAGCAACACTTTTATTGCTTTATGTAGCTCGATACATGTTGTGTCTCTTTAGTTATGACTCAGTGATTATCGATCACTATTTGTGGTTCTGTTTATTATGTTCCATAATTTTGAACAAGCAGTACTTTTGTAATTAATGGTGTATTATGCTGCCTGATAAAGTTATTTCAGTAGGATTTCTGCATTCTCTAAGTTATTTGTAAAAGACTGAGAGGATATAATTTTAAATTTCTACAAGGAAACATCACTAATAATGATGGAGTATTTTGGTTTTCTCAAACTTTTTAAAGAGCTAAACATTCTTTATTGGTAAATGAAGTTAGAAACATAGTTCATGTTACAATTGCTTTGAAACTTCAGTTTAATATCTTTTGTAGCAATAGTCTATTGAGCTATCCATAACTTCATTCTGGTGCTTACTAAATACAGGCATGCCTGAAAACCAGTAGTGTTGCTCCTACTGAAAAGCAGGGCTGATAAAAATGCCCAGGGGCTCATCAACAAATGTTCTAGTTGCTATTTGTTTTTTCCCTACAGAATACATTAAAACCACTAATTGTGTTTTTTGTTGTTTGTTTGGTACTGGCGATTGAACTTGAAAGCCACTAATTTTCTTTAATGTCTCCAATTATGATTTTTCCATTTTTTGTTTTATATAAGAAAAGGGAGCCAAAACTCCCATTGTAATTTTAGTATGAAATGAAAAGGTTATTATTTGTTTTGTTTTACACACTGTCATAGATGCTTTTTAAACAGGGTGTTCATAAATATTGATATGGATACTTCAGTGGATGCATAATTATGTAATTTTCTTGAGTTTTAAAAAGTATAATAAATCTCTTTTAGAGATTTTCAACTTCTAGGTGATTTTAAAGGTATAGTAACTCAACTACCAGTTGTCATTCTAACCCAAACTATGTTGAACTGTCTCCTAAAAGTTAATTGTCAGAACTTGTACTTCAGTGGCTTTATTTTAAAATCAAAGTACGTACAGAAATGCATATTTTCTAATTCTCTTTAGCAACTAATAATGAGCAAGTTATACTTTAACTCTATGATTTTGGATTTTGGTTAATTATTTTATATTATGTGTTAATTAAATTAGTTTAAAACCTTATATATGTTAGTTTTGAGAGTGGTAGGTATTATATTTTGTCATATCTTTGCTGAAAACTAGAGAAATAGAGAAATATATAAAGTATGATATGTTCATCTACTCAAAAGCATTATCATTATTTTCCCTAACATGATATATTTCTTTTTTGTCAAAATAAAAATTGATAATATCATTTTTGTTTCTCTAGAATCAAAGTTATATAACATTATTTTTCTAACCATACACTTAGTTTGTACATAGGGTATTTTGCTTACTTTACCTAGTTGTAAACATAATGCAAATATTTTGAGGCCACAGTTTCTTTTTTAAAGACCATTCATAACATAAAAGAAGACAGTGTGATAATTGGTTAACAGTAAACTTATTTGCTTTTCCATAACATGTCTGAAACAACTTTAAAATAATCTGCTGGTCTCCTTATAATCACTCATTATATCATTATGAATATTTTGTTTTGTTTCATTTAAAAAGAAGAAATACTCCTAGCTTGTCCATCTGGTCTTATTTTTTCTTTACTCTTACTGTGCAAATACAGAAGTTTATGAAGAAACTGTGCATGTGGAAGAGGAAGGGGTAGTAACGCAGGGAGAGGAGGTCGAAACAGGTCTGTCTGTGTGTCAAAAATAAATTCATGTTTTTCAAGTGTAAGTTTACATAAGATGTTTGGTTCCACGTTCATAAATCTACACTACACACCAAATTGCATTTCAGTACTAATTATAAATAAAGATAATGATTTACCATTTAAATATTTTAACTAATTTTACTAGTGAAAGAAATACTAAATAAGCTATCTAAACAATTTGTCAGATTGATTTACCCAGCTGGTTGAATATTTTCTTTAATGTTTAAAACCTTTAGCGACTATGATGTTTACCCATCTATTATTTCCTAAAACAGTAACAATTAACTTCTTCATGGTGGTTCTTCCTTCTGGGTCAGTATTACTGTTATATCTGTCAGCAGTCATAATTTCTCCCTTTAGGATCTTTCACCTAAATGGTTTGCAGACACATTGTTTTTGGTGTTTTGTGAACATTTTACGTTTACATACACATTTTGCCTTTTTGGTCGGAATTCCTATTTTAAAACTCAAAACATTACATAATCATTATATAAAGCAAAGTTAACTATTTTTACTTTGAAATTCAGAATTGAATCCTAATATTTTCTAAGCTCTTAGGTTTTGAAATTTTAATTCTTTTTGAACATTGCAGAGTGCGTAAATCTATTTTTATTAAATCTTTAAGCAGCAATCATTTTCATTCATGAGTGCATGTGCACTTTATTGAGAGTGCATGTGCCTTTTTTCTCCATTCATTGTGAAAAAGTGGTACAATTCTGTATGTTGCTCATGAGATGCATTTTCGTGGATATATTCTCTTATGTAGAATTTGTAGCTTTACAACCAAAAACATCTTGAGCTCCATTTGCTACTTATCAGTAATTTTTTTAGTGTCACAAGATTAAAAAAATCATCTCAATACATTTGATAGTAGAAACAAAGGCAGTTTTGCTTTCAGAGTTACAGAAACTCACAGCTGTCACATACATATTAAAACCCTTCACACTCTTCATTAAGTGACATCACAGAAGTCATTTTAGAACAGGACTTGAATAGTTAATATTACTTTAACTGAGCTTTGCCAACATCATGAAGCCTATTTTGCTGAACTATTTTGTTACTTGTGTCTTTCAAAATTAACTAGTAAATTGTACATGAAATTAATGTAAAAACGTAAGTTTAATGTAAAATGGCTCTAGTCCTTGTGTTTGTTTTTATTACTTTTCCTATAAGGTAGGCAATGTATACTTTACTTTTGTGTTTATTAATGTGGGGTGTTGTATTTAGTGCATGGATGGATTGATTTTTCTTCTGTGTGGTTTTATTCTTTTGACATGCTTGGTTCTTTTTGGGGTTGTTGCTGAACTGAATTATTAATCAGTGTTGTCTGTTTTTGATGTTATAAAGACAATGAGGGAGAAACACCAAGCCAACCTAATAATGGGAAAAAAGGCAAGTCTAAAATGAATTTAATAGTGCCTTTC